TACCGGAAAACTTCACGAGCCACATACGATATATACATACATACATAAACTCTCACGCCTGTCACCCAGAGGGGTAGGGAGAGACTACGGACTTCCATTTGGCACGATCCTGACACACCTCTCTCGCCTCCTTCACGTCCACATACCTACGCATACATGCTCGTCGGTTAAGGGTACTCCTAATTTGGCCCGTTTTTAATAAATCGTTAATTTGGTCGATAAACTTTCGCTTAGGACGTCCCTTTCCGACTCTGCCATTCACTTCTGCTACTTAATTTTTATTTGTTACTCTTTCCCCATTCATTTTTTCCACATTACCAAACCACCGAAGCATTCCTTTCTTAACCCTGGTCACAACATCATCTTGCAAACCACACTCTTCTCTTATCACACAATTTCTCACCACGTCATTCAAATTCAGCCCTAACGTACTCCTTAACGACCGCATTTCTACTGCGTTTATTTTACTCTCCTGCTTCTTCTGCCATATGTTAAAGTAGGGACCAACACAGCATTGTGAATATCCATACGTGCCTTTTTTGACACATTTGACCCTTCACAATAGAGTGTAGGGCCCCATTTACTCTATTTCCTGCATTCACTCGTAGTTCTTTATACTTATCATATCTCCCATCCCTACTAAAAACGCAACCCAATTATACAAACTCATCTACTTGCTCGATCAACTCCCCTTCTATTCTTATTTCATATATCGTTTTACTTTCTTCTCTTTCAAAAACCATAACTTTCGTCTTACTTGCATTCACTTTCAAAACTCTTTCACATATGATTATTATGGCTAATGCGCTTTACCATTCCATACAAAAGGACAAAGCTCCAACATCCAACAGCAGAAAACTGGAGCTTATATATTGGCTGGAGAGCAATAAAAATAGGTTCGATTAGTGAAATAAAACAAACCCAGAAAGCCAACCTACGTTTTGGATAAAATCGCTGAACAACATTGTCATAAGGTGTTTGCATTACTACCATATAATTGCCATCGAACGGATTTAGGTTTGCTTTTTTATCTATTATATATATATATTATATTTTTTATGCCTAGTACTACCTACATTTATTATATATATATATATATATATATTATATATATATATATATATATATATATATATATATATATATATATATATATATATATATATTTTGTTTTAAGTCATGCAGCCATACATAACAGATCTCCACCATTTACGGCTAAGAAAATGGTGACTTTATTGCAAAATGCCTGTGATAACATTACGAAGACTTTGGCATTATGCTCAAACTGGATAGGCGAATCATAATAAAAAAATTGCTGTTCTCGACACCACCATAACTGTTCACTCCATGACTTTCTTACATCGCTCTAACTTATACACCAAGCGTAAAACTCAAGAGTCAAATTGGTCACCGACTATGCCATAGCAGCGATCACAATAGATCTTTTGGGTCGCAGTGATACTGGTCTCTTTACCTAGACCATGCAGGTCTAGGTAGCTAGCTGCTCGCATATAATAAAAAAATAAGTGACAGTTCCAATAATGAGCTTAGTGATGATGATGATGATGATAATAATAAACCTTATTTAGGTTGTGCACCATTATTTTAATAATAAATAACTTTAAACTGCAAATCCTTAGATCTTTAATCCTTCGATAGAATTCGTAAATTTAGTTTTGTTCAACGTGTAGTGTTCGCTTAAATTTAAGAAATCGTTCAGCAAATCCTTGTTTTATTTCACATTAAGCCCTTTCACAAAATTTATTTCGACTCGCACGTATTCTACTAAATAGTCTGACTCAAAAACACTGGCATGTCCCACTAACGAATTATTAAACTTTTTATCGGTCTGCCTGTCCGGGCCAGTGTACTGAAACTTCGCCAACATACAGAGAGAAAAGCCGATAGTGATCTAGGCTATATTTTATTTAAAAACTTGAGAAATTTTAAAAAATGGTCTTTTACTATCATAAATCTAAATAATTTTATTTATTATTATTATTAGATATTACCCAGACGAAGTCAGGACTAGTCACTAGTCATATAATAAATTACAGGAAAATATAAAATAATAACGAGTAAAAATGATTTCTCTAATAGTTAAGGTACTTTGTTAAGTCAGTGTAAATGAAAACGTAGTTGAAAACAGAGTCAAATTCACTTTGAAACATTAAAAAATGCAACTGCTGTAAAAACTTCTGGCTCGACAATCCCCTAAAATAAACGGCAAAAAAATTTGGCGTCACGCTCGTTGCCAATTCATTATGTTGTAGTCTACTTGATTCATTTTTCCTTCTCGGAATTAAAATATTTCAGGTATTTCCAAGGCTTAGGGAATTAATGGCATGAATAAATAAAATTAGATGTCTTCACTGGATTATCAGTGAATTATTTGCATGTATAATAAGTAACTCTGCTTGTATAATGGTAACTCTGCCCTCATCATTCGTTAACAGTCCCCGCTACCTACATGAGTACACACAAAATGCATTCACTTATGTACGAACTTACAGAAGACCTGATCTTTTTGTTACTTTTAATTGCAATCCCACATGTATAGAAATAACCGAGGAGCTAATGCCAGGCCAAAAAAGTACTGACAGACACGATTTAGTCGCTAGAGTATTTAGATTAAAAGTACAAAAATTAATGTATGTAATTAACAAAGGGAAAATTTTCGGAGAGGTGCATTGCTTCATGTATTCAATTAAATGGCAAAAAAAGAGGATTACCGCATGCCTACATTCTAATATGGCTTAAAGAGAAGTTGCGGCCCAGCCAAATAATAATAGTATAATAATAATAATAATCTTTATTGCATCTTTAAGTTAAAGTACACTCGATAACAACAGTATAACAAAATTAAGCTTACAGTTAAGTACTTCTACAATTTATATGAAGCTACTGACATCTAAACTAGGCAAAGCCTGTATCTTAAATGCCAGGGTCTTCTCCCAAAACATAGTACAAGGATTTAAGTACAGAGCAGTATTCAATAATTTTAACTGATAAAGATAACAGTTTACTATCAAGTTTACAAAATATATATATTATACAAATATGAAATACACAAGAAAAAAATACACGCGTGAGTGTGTGCGTGCGTGTGTGTGTGTGTGTGTGTGTGTGTGTGTGTGTGTGTGTGTGTGTGTGTGTGTGTGTGTATGCGTGTGTGTGTGTGTGTGTGTGTGTGTGTGTGTGTGTGTGTGTGTGTGTGTGTGTGTGTGTGTGTGTGTGAGCTGAGTGATTATGAGGTAATGATTTTGACATAACGATAAATTATTATTATGTATGTTTAGTGTATATGTGTGGTGCCTATTTCGTGACGAGATTTTCCGTATCTTCGTATGTGAGAGACTTTAACCAAATTGATATTTTAGATTTTAATTCATGTTTGTTGATTTTGTATATATTTAACGACTTATTAAACTACTTACTACTTATCTTGTATAAACGACAAATGATTGAATTATACTGACGTCCTGCTAAAGCTGTTCTACATAAAGGTACTGGACACACAGGGATACTTATACGTCGCTTAAGGATATTAGAGTCTAGAGGAAGTTGTGAATGTTTCCGAAGCATTGTGCGAAGAACAAACAATTGCCTCACTGTTAGAAGATTACACTCTTTGTAGAGGTCAACAGTAGGGTGCATCCTATGTTTGTTCATCATAACCTTGAGCACTGCTCTTTGTGCCCTCTCAAGGTGTAGCATTTTAGTTTTATGCGTACCACCCCAAACTGGTATGCAGTACATTAAAATGGATTGGCATAGGCACATGTAAACCATTTTCAAGGTATCCACATTTGCAGAGTGGCGAAGATTCTTAAATATATAAATTAACCTTCTGATCCTATTGCAAAGCGCGTTAACATGTTCATACCAACTAAGATTTTCGTCAATATAGATGCCTAGATATTTAGTTTGGGGCTTGGCAGAGAGTGAGACACAATTGCAATCTGCGTCTTGCAATGAACACTGATGGACCTTGATAGAATTTACATTTTCAGAAATTGGCGCAGTCTTAGATAGATCAAAGCGTATAAGTTGTGTCTTTGCGATATTGAGGGTCAGTAAATTTGATGATAACCAAAGCATAACTTCTACTATAGCCTTTTCTGCATAATGTTTGGCACGAATCCCGACAATTATCTAGCTTAATTCTACACAGATCATTGATGTAGATTAAAAAGAACGTGGGGCCCAAAATGCTGCCCTGGGGCACGCCAAACTCTATATGCTTCTCGTCGCTGTAGTTATCATCAATTTTTACGCATTGGGTCCTTCCAGTGAGATAATCTCTGAAAATACTAAGGGGCAGACCACGAATGCCGATACATTCTAATTTAGAAATCAGTATGGGGATAGACAGGGTATCGAACGCTTTAGAGAGGTCAAGGAAAATGCCATAGCATTTTTGTTTCTCATCTAGCTTAGCAGTTATTATTTGGGAAAGTTCAATTACAGCGTCTTCGGTAGAAACACCAGGTCTAAAACCGAACTGGTTCTCGGCAATGACGTTGAATCTCTTAAGAAAATCAGTCAAAGAATTATTAAGAATGCGTTCTAGAATTTTAGATAGAGAACTGAGAACCGATATTGGTCTATAGTTGGTAACTTGATGCCTATCCCCACATTTAAATATAGGATGGACCACAGCTTTCTTCATCAGGTCAGGGAATACCCCAGTTGAAATTGAGGTTTACAAATGTGCGTTATAGGTGAGGTTAACGCTTTGCATGATAATTTAATAACGTCAGATTGTATTCCGTCCCATCCAACGGCGCAATTATTCCTCAGAAAGTTTATGATATTTTCTACTTGTAGCTCATCAACAGGTAATAGTACAAATGTGCTATTGTTAGATGAAGGTGACATGGGAGGAGAATCATCTAAGGACCATGATATTTTGGAGGCCAACTTTTTGCCGACCTGAACGAAATGTGAGTTTATAATATTTAACGTCACCTTAGCGCTACCGTGACAACTTAAAAGATCTATAGCAGACTCTTTAATCTTTTTTGTGTTCGTAATATTTTAATGACGTTCCATGTTTCTTTGATATTGTTTTTTGCCTTAAGGAATTCACATCTTTCATATTCTGACCTAACTTTTCTCAATAAAGTTTGTAGAAAGTTACGATATCTTTTATACTCGTATGTAATTTGTATGGTGATATTGTCCTGCAACTTTCTAGCCTTTATATGCAAAGAATCACGATTTCGGATGCATCGGATGAGACCGGCTGTCATCCAGGGTTTGACTGTACGAAATTTTCTTGAAATGATTTTAACTGAGGAATGTTTCTTTATAATACAGCCCACTATATCTATAAATATATTAGTTGCAATATTAGGATCTGATTCTTTCAAAACGACTTCAAAGTCGTAATTATCTAATTCGCGTTTGATTTCCACAAAGTTTAAATATTTCTTGGTTTTCGCGGCATGATGTATCCATTTATGCTTTTTATATAGTAACAGAAGAGTAGGTACATGGTCAGTTATTGCAGTTTCAATAATTAAAACACATGCATCCAGCTTGGTTTTCAGCAAAATATGATCGAGATAGTTTTCTAAACGAGTCGGCTTATTATGAGCTGGTAAAAAACCTAGCATGGCTAGAGAATTTAGGTATTCATGGGAGCGCTTATCATGATTATCATCCTTAACGTCAATGTTAATATCTCCCATTAAAACTATATTGTTATAGGAGCTCAACGTGGATATCAAGTTTTCCAGGCTGTTCAAAAAAATGTTGATGTCTGCGTATGATGGAGAACGGTAAATACATATAACAGCCGTGTCATTGGTGTAACACACAAGGCAATTTGCTTCACTAAGGATTGGCTCGTAAATTTTACAGTTAAGATCTAGCCTTGCATAAACAACGACTCCATCATTTTGTATAGGATTATTACGGGTGGCCAAAGACGCGAAACCATCAAGATGAGGAGTTGTTATAGCATATTTAAGCCAACACTCGGTAAAGACCAAGATATCCATGTTCACCTGAGTCATACTCATCATAGAGATAAATTCATAAAAATTTTTGTTGATACTACGAATGTTTTGATGAATTATTTTTAGCGCAAGATTTGGTTTACTTACAAAATCAAGACATTTATCCGGCGGGCAGCTATAAACATTCGCTACTGAAAGTGAATCAATTTCAATAGAGATATCATTTAAGTTAGCGCCTTTTACTATTTTTAATAATAAGATGTCGCACTTGAATTGATCGGAAAATAAAGAATTTCGTTGACAAGTATTTCGTTTATAAGTTTTTATACTTATCACTAAGAGCATAAGGAACGTTCGTGCTGTATAAATAAGTCGTTATATTACTTTTGCTCGTTTTGGTAATTCTACATTCTAGGGAATAAGGTAAGACACTATTATAAAGTTGTGAATAACAATATATTATATTAAAGTATAGCTTAGTTATGCTTGCAAGTAATATAGATAATATCATGGTATGTAAAAACGTGGTAAGATGTATGTATTTTATAAGATATTTGAAATTTTTGAAAATAGTTTGTATGTATATCATTCTAGTTAGCTTGTAAGTAATTAAATTGTATGTGTATGTAATTGAGTGTGTGTTGTGTAGATAATAAGTCAAAGTGCACGCAACAAAAAATATGTATATACATGTTATAAAATATCGTAAATTGTAATAAGTAAGAATTAAACTCATGTTTATACTATAATATAGGAAATAGGCTTTTAAGTATGCCGATTTAAATAAACCTAGTCATTTATCTTTTAATTTTAGAAGTTGTTCTTTGTTATCAATACGTATATGTGGCATACCTTCGGTTTTTCTGATGTATATTCTTCCATTAGACGTCCAACAGAAGGAGTATTTATGCGTTTTGGTGAATTCTCTAGCTAAAAAGAAAAGCTTCCTGGTTTTTGCTGTCAGGCCTTCGGAGATAAATACCGGCGTGGATGTGTTGTTTATTTTTAAATGCGTTGTATTAAGCGTATTTCCAGGATTGTCCTTGTTGAATTTTTTAACTGATTTTATAAAATATTCCTTCACGAGTATACTACTAAAGTGAACTATTACAGGTTTTTGATTAGTGGTTTTAGTGGTTGTTTGTTGTTTTTGATGTTGCTTGTTTATTCTATAGACATCACTGATATCTTTTTTTTTCTATGGGTAGATTTATTAAATTTCCTGCCTCTTGTACGATTTTCAGTTTTTATTTTAAATTATTTTAAAAATATCAAATATATTTGTGTTAACTTATTTGCTTTGATATCGAATTCCTCTGTGGAACTTAAAATCTTTTAGGTGGAAATGTCAACCTTTGTGATTACATTCCTACAAGCACTAAACAATGTTTCTCGAAACACATTCTGTTTGTTATTTTTATCTTTGTTGCTTTTACATCGTCCGTTTTTACCCGGAGCACATTTTTTAATCCTGTAAAATTCCATGATCCCAATAACCATTTAATCACTAGTTAAATATAATAGTAAATTCATATTTTATTACATTTATACCAGATTTAGTTCAAAGACAATACATTTGTTACTTATAAGAACGTGATCGTGATAGAGTAATTAACTACATACATATGCAAGTAATTAAAATTGAATGATGATAGACTACCCCAGGTGGGTACCAGCACCCCTGGAGAATCCCTCGCTGAGCTTCCACGACCATGTTTCTCCACTTCTGAGCGTCGGTGCTCAGGTTGCCCCACGTATTTGGGTGGGGAGGGGGGGGAAATTCCGCTCAAGACTACAACTGCTCGGGGCAAACGGAGCAACAAGACTAAGGCAACCCCTACCACGCTGTCCGTGAATTTCTGCAATATCAGGGAACTTCACTCTAACCTAACGCCGTCCACTACCATCTCGAGACAGCGAGGCCGGCTCTGCTCTTTCTGACCGAGACGCAGGTGTCCTCTCCGGCTGATGTCTCGTATCTCTCCTACCCGGGGTACAAACTGGAACACTCCTTTGTGCCTCGGGCTGGAGTTTGCGTTTACGTCAGAGAGAACATCTGTTCTCGACGCCTCGGTAGTCTTGAAGGTTCGGACCTGTCCATCCTTTAGCTACGCGTAGACAGCGACGACCACCCGCGCGTCTACGGGTGCCTCTATAGGTCCCATAGCGGTAATGCCGAAACAGACCAACTCTTCGACCACGTTCAAATGGCTACAGATTCGTTGCTACAGCAGATCCCCTCCGCAGAGATCGTAGTCCTCGGCGACTTTCACGCCCATCACGCCAAATGGCTTGGTTCACGTTTAACCGATCATGCGGGGAGATCTGTCTCATGCGTGTCATGATTTTGCCTTGGCATATGGTCTGACACAACTGGTTACCTCGCCTACGTGGATTTCAGATGTGGAGGATCATGCCTCTTCCACCACCACCTTCCCTGTTAGACCTTCTACTGACCTCTCACCCGGACGGATATCAGATTTCCGTCAACGCCCTTTTCGGCTCCTCGGACCATTGTCTTGTCGCTGAAATCGCAGTTGCATTCTGCAGGCTGCCGCTGTGTTTGGCACTATAGGTCAGCCGATTGGGATGGGATGCGGTCTTTCTTCACATCCTACCATTGAGGGCGGGTTTGCTTCTTGCCGGACGATTCCAACGTTGTTGCGGATTCTGTCGCTGATGTGGAACTTCAGGGTATGGAAATTTTATTAAATTATCCTCTGTGGTGCCCATTGGAGGCAAATCTCAGCCGTGGTTTGGTCGCTCCTGTAAAGTAGCATCATGCTTTAAGCAGGAGTGCTACCAGGCCTAGGCTGACGCATCAGCGTCTCGAGATGTAAACACCAGCACTCTAAAAAAGAAGTATAATTCCGCCTCTAGGTCCTTCAAAAGAGTAATTGCCAAGGCAAAGTCAGAGCACATAGGCAGAATTGGCGAGAAACTAGTTCGCCTTTCTTCCGGAACCCGTACATTCTGGTCTCTCACCAAGGCTGTCCAGGGGAATTTCTGTCAGCCATCTCTTCCATCTCTGCACAGGGAGGACGACTCACTGGCCCACACCGCAAAGGAGAAAGCCGATCTGCTGGGCTCCTTTTTTGCGTCCAACTCGACTCTCGATGACGGGAGGAGTCCGCCGCCGACAATCCCGCGGTGTGAGTGCTCCATGCCGGAAGTGCAGTTCACACAGCGCTCGGTTCGCAAAGTACTCCTCTCCCTGGACATCCACAAGTCGAGTGGGCCTGACGGAATCCCCCCAATTGTGCTGAGGACGTGTGCTCCAGAGTTGGCACCGGTTTTAACGCGCCTTTTCCGGTGCTCCTACTCCCTAGGCGTAGTCCCAAAATCATGGAAGACGGCTTTCGTCTACCCGATCCCTAAAAAAGGTGACCGCTGAGACCCGTCCAACTACCGTCCTATCGCCATCACCTCCTTGTTCTCCAAAACAATGGAGTCCATTGTAAACTGCCAGCTCATGAGGTACCTTGAGGATCACCAGCTGATTAGTGATCGCCAATACGGTTTTCGCCGTGGTCGGTCAACTGGTGATCTTCCGGTCTACCTAACTCACAGATGGGCGTGGGCAGTAGAGTCCAAGGTCTAAACTAACGGCCAATGCCTCCCGCATTGGCCGTTAGTTTGGACATTGCGATGGCCTTCGATCGGGTTTGGTACAAAGCGCTTCTTTCGAAGCTCCCTTACTATGGGCTTCCCGAGAAATTGTGCGATCGGATCACCAGCTTTCATGCAGATCGCAGCATCCAGTTCGTTGTAGACGTTGCAAACTCCGATTACAAGCCTATTAATGCAGGTGTTCCACAAGGCTGCGTGCTATCGCCAACGCTGTTTCTTCTGCATATCAATTTTATGTTGCAAACCCGTAACATTCATTGCTATGCAGATGACAGCACTGGTGATGCTCTTTACACCGGCCGTGCCAATATTTCTCGAAAAAACGTCTCCGAGTACCGGGACAAACTTGTGTCTGAAGTTGAGTCTTATCTGAACAGAGTCTCGGATTGGGGCGACTAAATCTAGTTCAGTTTAACCCCCAGAATACATAAGTTTGCGCGTTAACCGCTAAAAAGAATCCCTTTATCGTATCCCCTCAATTTCAAGGCACTCCCCTTGTTGCCTCAGCCAGTATCGGAATCCTCGGCGTCGACATATCGAGTGACGTGCAGTTTCGTGGTCACTTGGAAGAGAAGGCCAAATTGGCCTCTAAAAAGCTTGGGGTGCTCAGCAGAGCGGGACAGTATTTCATGCCGGAACCGCCTGCAACTTTATAAGGCGGGTTCGGCTCACATGGAATATGTTCTTTCCTTCCCAGCTCCTTCCACTTGACCGCAGCCAGCGCAGAGCGGCTCGAATCGTCGATGACCGAGTGCTTTCCGATCGGCTCGATTCACTGACGCTACGAAGAGATGTTGCATCTCTTTGCATTTTCTTTCGCATATACCATGGGGAGTGCTCTGAGGAATTGTTCGGATTAATCCCAGCCGCCAAATTTCGTGAACGCACTACGCGGCAAACGTCCCGATACCATTCACACCATCTGGATGCTTGGCGATCCACCACTGCACGTTTCAAAAGGAGTTTTCTTCCGCGTACAACCTCTCTGTGGAATAGTTTACCACTGGCGATTTTTTCGGATCGATACGACCTGGGGACCTTCAAGAAAAGAGCTTACTCCTTTCTAAAGGGCCGGCAACGCACCTGCAATTCCCGTGGTGAGGCGGTAAGATCGTGGGCGGCGGTAGTCACTTAACATCAGGCATGCTCGTTTGCCCCCTCTTCTATAAAAATAAATACTGAGGATCTGATATAAATATTTTTAGCACAAATAAGTGCGACAAACAGGGATGTGTTAGTAAGAAGATGTTGTCACTTACATCTGTCCTCAATTTAGGAACGGTACACATAGAGACGCGACGTGACTCAACGATGCTTAAAGAGGCTAGTGGTTTCGCATCACTCAGCACGCCACCGCGAAACGCATCGCGACGTCGCGAGGCGCATCATGAAGTCACTGGTAGCCCGAAGCC